CAGTCGGAAAAAGGAACAGGGTGTTCTCTGCTTCGGCCGGGCATTCCCGGTAACCGACTTCCTGTCACTTCTAGTATTCCGTCGTTCTAAGAGCAGGGCGTTCTCTGCTTCGGTCGGGTGTTCCCGATGTTCGACTTCCAGACTCCTCGTAAGAGAGAAGATTCTCTCCGTCTCCGGACACAGCGCACCGGTCGACAACTCATCAAGCTCGGATACACGCGGTATCGTTTATTTTTCAATATTCTTAATCCGTACCGTACGAACCAACCGACTTAGGATTAATTAGATTTAGTTGTTTAATTTCGGCAAAAGGCGCAACACGTTTATTAACTTACGCAGTTTATCCGATAAATTCCGATGTTTGTTTAATTCCCGATACTTCGCTGCTCTCATTTACATACGTTCACGTTTACACCGTTGAGATATTAGATAGATTAACCGATAGGAAAATAGGCAATAGGCAACCTAAAATATAAAAGGAAAATTATTCTTACAGAGCATCGAGTACAATACAGATCTGTTTGTTGGAGTGAATTAAGTATACTCTTAACCTTTCACATAAGAAAAAAAACAGGTAATAAGTATATTGTTAATAATTAAACTTTCTTAAGCAATTGTCATTTTTATGTATTATATGTATTAAACTATTGAAGTGATTAAACTTGATCACTCGCATCATTAATTAAAATTCAGAGAAATAACACCTACTTATGTACTCATTGTTACTTTCGTTATGTTTCGTTTATAATTATATCCTCTCTAAATATTCTTTTGAATAAATATTTACTTTGTTTAATTTCCTTTTATTAATTTGGAGTCTCCCGATAACCACCCGAACGAATCCTGGCGAACCGGCGAGTTATTCCGCATCGTAAGAATCCGCTTCGTTACATACGTTGTAAAATTCCGCATCATTACGCACCGCCCGTGAGGCGTAAAAATAAGCACCGTTACAAATCATATAAAATAAGATATAATTTATAATCAATATCAATTTAAAATTATTTTAATCACACTAAAATGTAATTTAGTATTTTAAATTAATGAATCGAATAAAGATTTATTACGTAAAGAGAATTATTTATAACAATCTAACACATATAAAGGAAAGGCTCAAATGATAACAATTAATTAATATAATA